CGGCCAATCGGCGGGCTCCGTGCCTGCTGACGTCACGAGCCAGCCAGTTCCCTCCAGCTGCAGAGCCCCAGTTTGTCTTTTTTTTTTAAACTAAAATGGAGGCTGGTTTCTCGCCTTAAGGAGCCCATTGCCTTCCCCGCCGAGCCTAGATGTTGACATGTAATAAAGCGGGCAGCAGGATGGTGGTGGATGCGGCCAGCTCCAACGGGCCTTTCCAGCCCGTGGCGCTTCTCCATATTCGAGGTGAGTTGTTGTGTGCTTCAGAGTCGGAACCTTCTGTGGTTAGTTAATAAATGGCTATTGTGCTTCAGATAAGAAGAGCAGGAAGTCCTTTCTAGCCGAATGCATGCCGTTTCGCTGCAGACGGAACCGGGGAGGTGGGGCGTGTCACTGCAGTCTGGCGTTTTACGAACTACTTACAGAATTCGAGTGTCGAGAGGCCTTGCATGCATAGTTCAAAGCTGGTTTTTCTGCTTTCTGCTCGCTCTCCCATCCCCCTTTCCGAGCTGTGCTGATGTCAAAGGATGTGAAGTCACTGCCCGGGGAAGGTATTGGGTGGGGGTGGGAGGGAGAGGCGGGCCGGCAGCGCCTGGCCAAGTCGCCCGTTCGCGGAGTTTCTGTTACGTCTGTGTTGCTTGATACCGCAAGGGTTTTGTCGGGGACGATCTCTGAGTTAAAGATGAATTGCAGTCAGAAAATGTGCAGGAACGACTAGAAAAGAGCTTCCTGTAAAAGGTTCTTTCCATGCTTGACGTGGAGCCTAAAAGAGAGATGCACTCGTGCTTTGAAATGCAGAAACCCACCGTGGGTCGTAATTTCGGAAATGTTAGTGCCTTCCCGGACTTAGGAAATAAATACCTTGCGTTTGCATTGGCTCCGTGTGGCCGCTTGACTTTAAAATTTAACATGACAACAAGTTTTCAATGAGGATGTAATTACACTTTGCCCCATATAGTTTATACAGAATTTGGGTTAACACGTATTTACCTTAAAAACACAGTTACTACTACAGTGATTAATAACAGTTCTATTAAACTCTATCGGGGTGGTAGTATACTTCTTCGTAGTTGTTACTTTTAAATATCGGTCATGTAAATTTTTTTTGTTCGGAATCGGGCCAACTAGAAAATGAAAGTTAAGCCTCCTCAGATCACTTTATAAATTTTTTAATGTCACAGCGGTGCCTCCCAAAACAGTCTTAACTGTCAGAATCGCCTTTAAACCGTGCTAAGGAAGGGTGGGGGCAGGATTATAGGTGACTAATAGTTCGTATGACTAAAATGCCAGACAGGATTTTTCAGGTCCCAGGGTGGACCCGGGGAAGATAAAGCAAATGAACACTCAGCCATCGGAATGAAGTGGGTGCTGCTTTTCTCTCCACACCTCTTCACTGAAGCTGGTGGGAATCACTGTCCACAGTGCCCAACTCGGAGGCTGGGCAGAGAATTCATGGTTTTGCACGGCCCGGCAAACACGGCCAAGGGCAAACCACGGCCCAGCGTGTGGATATTTTAGCTGCAGGAACCAAAGGGGCAAATACGAAACGTAACTTTCGATTTAAGTTCTTAAACACGGACTGACTAGTTAGCAATACGATGATTTCATTGCATATGAAATGTCTATTTTTATACTTGTAGGGTAGCTTTATAAAGGATTTTTTTGGTTTGCGAGCTTTCTGATTTATTAGACACTGAGTGGACTAGTTATTTTTTGAACTATGAATTTATTCTGAAATGGAATCACTTGATTTTATATGTCATACTATTGATTGTTTTTATTTTTATTTATTTTTTTTAATTTCGAGACCTCGTTATGACCGGTTTGGACTTCTTGCTGTTGGTCGGGTGGTCGTTGGTGGCTCTCTCATGGTGGACGGAAAGGAGAGAATGCGTTACTGAACGGGACTTGAGTTTTTGAGGAGGGGTAACCTTTAGGGACGTAAAGCTAACTTCTAATTCAGATGGTGGCCTAATTTCTAATTTCAAAACCTGAAGAATGCTTGATTGACTCATAAGAAGTTTTCAAGAGAAAGCATGTTCATGTGAGGTTTGGCAAAATTGTTTTTATCTTTAGTGGCTTTTTGAGTCTTGATCGGTTTAACATCCAGTTAGCAGCTCTGCTGTGTGTCCAGTGCTGAGGGTCATTACCATGACAGACACGGCCTGGCCCGGAGGAGCCCAGGGGTTAGTGGGGAGACCAGCAGGGCCCCCGATGCCAGCTCTGGGCAGGGGCCTGGGTGCAGGGACTGATATAGTGTTGGGAAAGGGCAGGCAGGGGCAGCACCGAGCGTCCCCTCCCTCTCTGGGGACCCCAGGTCTCCACTTAGGGAGGAGGGGTCTTCCACACAAAAGGGAGGGTCACCTGCCCAAGGTCACACAGTTGTGGGGCCAGGGTCCAAATGCGGGAAGCTGTGTTGTCTTGTTTGGATCTTTATAAAATAAAAAAAAATTTTTTTAATAAAAATCTGGGCTGTTTGTAGAACCTTTTTCCACAGGGTTATAATAGCAGTTTTTTCTAGTGCCTTATCACCATCCATCTGTTTCAGTGACCTCTCGTATGACAATTTAGTGCCCAGGGTTCATTTCTTTGTCGGTTCCCTACCTCGGGCCAGCAAGGTCCAGCTTTCCCAGTTTATAGTCCCCTGGGCGGTAGCCAGGGGAAGGAGGGGACAGTCTCTCAGACAAACAATACTATCACTAGACTGACTGGTAGCCCCAGTGGTTTGATAGTTACCTTCTACTAAATAGTATGGAGATTTTGATTAATATGGTGAATTCGCATATCCTAAAAAGTTCAAGTGCAGAAGGGACGTGCCGCCGAAACTGAGTGTGAGCTTTTCTGTCAGGAGGAGGAAGCGGCACCTGGAGCTTGATGGCTGTAAATTTAGCTTGATGACTTAAATCCTGAACTTGCAGCGCCCTCCAGAACTGTGAGATGAAGGAAATGTTCTGTGCCGTCCCCTGCCATGGTCCCTGGCCACATGTGACCGTTAAGCCCTGAAAATGGGGCTAGCTCAACTAACGATGCAATTGAATTTTAAATCTTATTTTGAACGTAAGCACACACACGCATCTGGTGGCTTCTGTGTTGGACAGCGTGGCTCTGGTGGAGACGGACGACGTTTTTCAGTTTCTGGGCAGTCACTATTTTGGGCTGTGAGTAAAACAGCTGTAAACAGTAAGTAAAGGAAGGGGCGTGACAGTGTGTCCCAGCGAAGCTCTATTTACAAAAGCAGGTGGCGGGCCAGGTCGGGCCCAGGGGCCGTGGTTCGCGGGCCTCTTTCCTAGACTCTTCCTCGAGTTTTTTAGTTGCCTGTTGAGCGTGGTAACGCAGGTGTCACACGGGCGCGCTCCGCGTGGTGGCTTGCTGGGGTTTTGGGGGCCAGGCCTCCGCAGGGCTCACGCTTACCTCCACAGCTGGGATTGTGGCGGGAACGGCCACGCCAGAAAGATGTCACTGGCCAGAGAGGAGAGGAAAGTGCGCCAATCCTCTCCCGGCTGGCTTTTTCCTGGCCTCGGGAAGTGGGCCGCTCCAGCCTCGTCCTGGGCGTTAGCAGGGTCACCCACCCTGGGGTGGGCCTGTCTGTGGGAGACCGCTGCGGAGCCAGAGAGCAAGTTACCTTTTTGTGTAAACCCGTGATTCCGGGGGAATGCAGGAATATTGCACCGTAGAAAAGTTTATCTTCTCACAAGTCTTTCTGGATCATCGATTCTAGGAAAATCTTCGCCTTTCCAGTAAAAACTTAGAGAAGATCGTGCAGGAAGGCTGCGTGGGCATCAGGCCCTGGTGTCACTTCTGTCACCTCCCGCTGCGCTCAACCTGAGACCCCGGCCGGCACCACTAGTGAAACCCGCTCACAGCGCACCTGGGTCCCCGGGCGGGGAGCACACCCGCCCACGTGCTGTCGGGGACACCGTGGGGGCGGTGCCTGGGGTCTCCCTCACGCCCCGGGTGTGGAAGGAAGAGGGTCTCAGTGCTGACCAGAGTGAAGGGCCCTTCAGAAGACGGGGCCAGGGAGCCCCTCGCTCCGCGCGCCGCGTCGGCTCAGCTCAGGTGACTGTAGTTGTGTAGCTGTGGCTGTCTGTGCAGTGACTTCGAGATGCAGCCTCACAGCTCACCTGTACTGACCCTCTACGTGAAGCGGTCTCTTCTGTATCCCAAGGTGCGGCGCTTAGCCAGAGGAACAGGTGGGGAGGGGTGTACGCTTGTGCAAGGCCCGCACACTGTTGTTAGTTGCTCTGCCCTTGCACTTGGGTACAATGTCTGTTCAGAGATTTATGATCATCATTCCTGCCTCGCAGCAAAAGCTAAACTAGAATTTTTTCATTGCAATATGTTAATCGTGTAGAAAAACAAAACGTTGAGGTCAGTAGTCAAGAAAAGGGTGTGTGTTTACACCCAGGAAGAGGACAGACCGTACAGGCGAGCGGCTCGGTTCGATGTCCCATGTCGTGGCGTGGTGGGCTCTTCAGTCCTTCAGCACTCTCCCTCACCTCTGCCCCCGGCCTTCCTGCCTGGGAGGTGAGCAGGACACGTCCAAGGTCACCAGCCTGTAAGGCCCAATCCGGGGCCGCTGCCCCCTGCGCCAGTCGAATGTCCCCAAGCCACTGCCGGTGGCTGTCCCAGGAGGGGAGGCAGCAGTTACGGAGCGCCTTCGGTGTGCCGGCCAGGGCCAGTCCCCCCACCTCCGTGCTCCCCGGGATCTGCCCAGCGGCTGGGGCACCGGGAGAGCTGGAGGCCGCGTCTCGCCCAGGACCACAGAGCAGATGAACCCGGCGTCAGCTCACCGCCCCTTTGCGCCGCTCGGGGCGGCGAGGGGCAGAGGCTCTCGCGTCACGCGTACCTCCTCCTGCCTGTCGCTGTGTTCTGTGCTGTAATGTGTTCGAGTGTCTGGAGTTCAAACTCGTGTCAGGTCTGAATGAGAGTTTGTGAAACTCCACTCACACGTTCTTGGTGTCGGGGAAAACTGAAGGTGTCCTTCCCTGAAGCCCCATTTCCACTTCCCAAGTCGGCCAGGTATTCACTGTTGGCCTGATTTTCGTACGTCCTGCATGTTGAGCATCCTGGGGAAGGTCGTGGTCAGCTGGATGCGTCTCACACGCCTGGCTTTGTCCCTGCGTGTAGGCACTCAGTCAGTCAGTGCCGTGGGTTGAAATCAAAAGTCGTTCCTGTGAATGAGCACTCAGGTCATAGTCGTTGGTGTATTTCTTAGCTAATGACTTGGTCAGTCCAATAATACTGGTCAGGCTCCTGAGAAGCGGGACAAGGTACCTACCTGGTTGAACAAGTGGACAGGACACAGCTCCCGCTGCTCTGGGCTTTGCATCAGACTCAGCCTCCTCTCCCCGTCACACGGAAATGGTGCCACCAAGGATATGGAGACATGGAGAGCTCTGAAAGGGGGGTAAACAGTTCCTCTCGCTGCATGTAAAAGCCTTGCGGCTCTGGGGCGCGGGACAGACCACGGCTCTCGGGAGTGAGGGCTGGCTGCGCCTCGGGCCCTGGAATTGCTTATAGCTCAGAAACCCTTCTAGTTCGTAAAAATAAAACTGAAGAGATCGAATAGTGAAATACAGCGGGCGAATCTACATCAGATCTTTGTTCTCATAAAACCCAAATCGAACCTAGTGGATAGTCGAGGCCACTGGAGGCCGTCGCGGGCTGACACGGCGGCGGTGGAATTCCGCTGGCCCGCTGGGCACAGCAGTGGCCGTGGTGTCCAGGGCTGTCCTTCCGCTCCGGTTGCAGGCCGAAGTAGTTAGGGGTGCGCTGTCGTCATATCTGTGACCTACTGCAGATGATAAAGAGAAAGAGAGTCGACTGTACAGCAAATACGCTAAAACACGAACAGTCGCTGAATCCAGGGGGGCGGGGCGGGTATCAGGGATTCATTCACTTCTTTGTAGCTTTCAACTTTTTCAAATGTGAGAGAGAGATCTTTAAAATCTCCTGCTTCAGAGAAAAACAGGCAAAGGAAATGTAATTAATTACTTAGAATCGTTTCCTCAGTGGTAAGTAGTGGTCTTTTATATTCGAGTTTTGGCTTTTCCTACGTTTCTTCTTTTATTCCATTGTTGACAACTGGTGGCTGTCAGTGAACTAACCAGGCAGGGGCTTGGCCGTCTGGGTGGGGCGAGGTCGAGACCCTGCAGCCAGGCCTGGGTACCAGACCCCAGCCCCCCAAGACCCTGCAGCAGGCAGCCTCACAGCAGGGGTGCCCTGCCTGCTGGCACAGTCGCCTCCTTACTAACTCGGTGCCCACACAGACCGCTGCACCATTTTACCAAACGGTATTTCGGGTGTGCACCTTTTTTTTGATGTTTATTGGCATTTTTATTGGTCTTTTAAAGGATAACGGCCTTTAAGGCATACTGTAAGATAAAACCAAGCTTAGTAGTTAAGGGCGGGGGTCTGAAGCCACAGGGCTGGGTGAGACCCTGCCCCCTACTCCACCCCACCCCTGGCCAGCTGAGCCACCGTGGGCAAGCCACTCGCTCGCTGTGCCTGGAAGCGCGGGAATGAAATGGGAGTGACATGACCAGCCTCTCGGGTTCTGTGAGGGTGAAATGCGTGTACACATCAGGTGCTTGAAATGGTGCCTGAGTGTTTTACGACTCAGTGTTTGTGGTCGCCGTGGTTATCATCTCTTTTCTAGGTCACTTCGGAGCCCAGCGTCTTAATTAACCACGCTTGTTTTCTCTGTCTTTTGCTGTATTTACCTGTATTTGTTCCTCTTGAGGCTCATCTGCCGCCTCCTCCCCTGCTTCACCGAGCCTTTCTCTTGCAGTCTGCTGGTCACTTCGCCGCCTGGAGAAATGGGTGGAGAAATGGGTGGAGAAATGGGTGCCATCGCTGCTCCTGGAGTCTGTGCTGTGTGCTCTGCTCCTGGGTCGAGTGTAAAAGTACCTAATAGGGTGACCGCAGGCACACCCCCTGGGCACGTCTATTCAGAGCGATCTCCCTGCTCCTGGGAGCTCAGGCTTTCACTTCCCATGGGTCTCCTCGGTTAACTAAAATGAGAAATCTGCATTTATATACACTCCTCTCCTCTCCCCATTTTTAACTCTTTTTTGAAGAAAAGCGTTTAGCATAACATTGGTCAGGAATGTTACTTAGAAGTTAGAGACGTTATCTGTGATTGGTCCCGAACAGAATGACTTGGCTCTCACTTCCTTGTAGTGCTTTTCAAACGCAGATGTCGCTTCCCTTGCTGGCAGCCCCTCCCCTCCGACTTCCAGGTTTACTGGCTTATTGTCAAAACCTGCAACATTAAACTCCTCCTAATTCCATTTTTTGTGGTGGGCTTTTTAATTGAGATAGTATTTGAACTAAGTAGGATCTTAGCTATAACCTTACATCTTACTGTTTGAAGTTTAAGTGTTGCATTTTTAATAGAATTTGAGCTGGTTGGCTTTTCCGGTCTCTTTGTCATTGATGCGTGTGAACTTTTCGTGCAACATTTGGACTTTTGTCTGCTGGTCGCGTTAGTCATGAGCAAAGCATCCTTCCTAATTCCGGTGTTTGGACTTGTAAGGTTAGTGAGAACAGGACTGTTCACTCCGGGGAACCACCCGGCTCCTCCCAAGCTGCGGGTCCCTGACTCGGGTCCCTGAGTCTCGGTGGCCGGCGGTACATACGGGTGCGTTTGCGGCTGGCCGCGACGTCCGTGCATGCACACCTGGGACTTGCTCTTCTCACCTTTCTGTAATGAGCCACACTCATCGAGGGGCAGCACTCGGTAGCGAAG